TGCTCCCGCCTCTCACTCCTCCTCCCTCCCAACCTTTGTTCTCCCGCTACTTTACCTTTGCCTATTGCACTCTTGTCTCTCTCACACCTGAAGAAGGCTCCACGGCCGAAACGTTGTGTTCTCTTTCTTCTTTTTTTCAGCATGGAATAAACCTATTACTTGTTCCTTTGCAGCCTACGCATGCTGACGCAGCTACCCACCTCAACATAAATAGAGGTTCAATAACTGGGAAAATGTCCCTTGCTCTATTCAGATACTCCATATGCATATTTAGAATATATTTCTCATCTTATACAAACACATCAGTGCATCCCTGTGTTCATCACGTAAAAGCCACTTATTCCTATTCAGGGTCAACATAACGCTGAGTGTTCCAATATATGTTGGACTTTTATTTCTAGTAATTTTTTTACTAGTCTTTACATCAATAATAGAGCAGCCTCATTAGTTTTTTCGCTGCATCTGAACAAAACAAAGCAAAATGCCTTAACATTTAGGTTATTTTCATTTACAGTATCTTGTACTTAAAATAAATAGCTGTATTAACTCAAGTACCTCTCAACACATGTCAGGAATTCTATGTAACAACTTCTGCCCCCTTGGTATTTTGCTTTACTTTATGTGGAAACTTTCAACATCATTCCCTTATTTTGCCTGAAACTGCCTGAAGCCATTTCTCTATCTCTCTGGACAGCAAGTGACTTGAGCTTCTCTATCCAGGCGTCCAGTGTAGTGATATACCCATGAAGAATGTTTGTTATGGTAACCAGATTCCTTCAGTGTCATTTGCTTGAGCCAGTAAGCAGTGAAATTGTAAAAGTGCCAGATTCCCTGATTTTTCTAGGTCATGATTCCTGTTTCTAGTGCTAGAGAGTGTGTTCCTATTTTTGAAATGGAAAGTATTTTTATATGCCAGCGTTATTTTTATTTTCAGTAGTTTTTACTCTAGAGGTAATTACTCAATTAATTTCTATTTTGCAAAGGTTGTCCTTCTGAAAATGCTAGTTGGAAAAGACTGTCCATATTAGATGGTTGGTGTTGTCACAATAAATAGAACATATTCAAAATTATTTTTTGGGGGGATGGTTTGAAGCAAGGGTTTTATGTGATTGTTTCTTTAGTTTGTAGTTTCCAATATATTGTATAATCATATTTTCCCTTCTGTCTTTGATATTTGAAGATATGGGTCTAAACAGCCTATTGAATTCACATAGAAGTCACTAAACTGACATTTTAGCTGTTAATTAATTGTATTCTTTTTAATGCACAATATGCAATATATAAGGTCTATGAAACTACATAATGCAATGGTAGATTATTTGGCAGTGAATCACAGCAATTAAAATGCACTAATATTGAAAATTTTAACCTCCTGTCCCATCAACTTTCAGCTGGTTGCCCATAACATCAGGACAAAGGGACAAAAAGTACTAAAACAGGCAATATTTGGGGGTTTGTGTTGATTTTGTTGTGTTGATTGTGTTGACAAAAGGTTGATTTTCGTTGCTGTTATGTCATTCTAATTAATTCCTACACCCCAACATCTATACTTTCTTTGTGCAGTCAGGACAAGGAATCTGAGAGCCAGTCCTTTTTTTGTAACCCCACCCGGTTGTGCCTGTTGGGAACTACAGTATGACAGGATTCCTGTAGTACAACCATTTACATGGTGTTCTTGATAAATGTGCAATGTGATGTACAGTATGTGCAGTAACATTTTTTGTGCATAACAAGGGTTTTTGCTGCTTTTGGCCTTCTTCATCTCGATAGTTTATCTGTTTCTAATGTTTTTGGCCCATTTCTAAGGTGAAGGGAATTCTGGCCATTTCAAAATAAAATCTGAAGCCAAAACAAAAGGAGTGCTGTGTTACTATTCCTGCCGTTGTAATTTTGTGAATATTACACGTATGACATATTTAAACTTGAAATGCTCCGCCTAGATTGTGTCTCTCTGTCATCCTTGCTGGGATATTTTCATTTGAATTTCTGCAATTTGAGTAAAACTTTCTTATCACAAGCACTGTATTTAGTTTTTTTTTTGTCTACTAGATAGTGTTTGCAGTTACATTAAAAGAGGTTTCAGTAATTTAATTAGTGTACGTTAAAACCAAGCCGAAACAGAAGAATCTTACGTTTCAAGACCAAAATAAAAACTCCAAATATTTCCTTTCTTCTGACAACAAAGTCGGAGGTATTCTTGGCCGTTGTTGGCATCCACGTTTTGTCTTCAGGCCATCAGCATCAGGTGAGGCTCATTGGTTGCACTGGGTTAGATGGGCCAAGCTGATGCTTTTAATTGATTTCTAACAAATGTAGAAAGATTAATTGAAAGAAATCTGAATTCCATCAAATGGAATGTTTTTAGCCTCTCCCTTCTGGCATTGTGTTTTGTCCCTTGTGGTTGGAGCAGGTTGTTTATATAGTGGGGACAATATTTATGTTTGACCTTTTGTCTGTCTCCAATCAGACAGATCGGAGGAAGGGGTTATTTTGCTTTTGAACTCATTTTTGGAAGTGTTTTAACAAAATAACAATACACAAGTTTTGTCCTCTTGAAAAATGTTTTTATACATTTAAAACACAAACAGGAATAATAAGTCTGGTAGCCAAACTAATACATACAGTATATGATATGAAAGTTAACTTTTAATTCTTGACAACGTTAATCATTATGTTTTATGTAGTTTCTTATTGTAAAGAAAAGAAAAATAATACATTCTTCAGCTTTTTTTTAATAAATTGTATCTTTAAATTATTGTTTCTGTGCCGTAGTGTAAGTAAATGTTCAGCATCTGACTTCAGTAGAGCAGAGGTGTGTGTAATGTCCAGAAGACAGCAAATAAAGTATCACTTATCAACAATGTGCTAAATTAAAAATAACATAGACTTGATCTTTTAAATATTATGTTCAAATGGGCCTTTGAGCTGTATCCTAGGCTTTTTATTGGATATTTAGATAGGTTTTTATCCAAATACAGAGAAACACAGCTGTTCACAGCAGTTCAAGTTCTCTATACAAGGAACCTGTTTCAAAAAGAGAAAAATATTTTAAAAAACAAATTAAGTGGGCACTATATTACACTGGATGTTGGTTATAAACAGTGGTCTCAGCATACAACAAGTACAACAGTGCCAACTAAAGTTTATGTAAAGTCTCCACTGTGTTGATAAGTTACTGTTTTCATCTTGCTTCATAGGTGGTTTTTAAATTAGCTTCAAAAGTAGTTACAAAACAGTGCACAGTTTGTTAATAGATTCAATGAGAAAACAGAATGCAATTGGCACCCAGCAGTGGTCACTATGCTGTCTCGATGTTTCGACAATTTATGTCCTTAATGCCTAGCTTGCATGGATTGACAAGCCATATCGCTGCATGAAGGCATTCAGTGTCCACTCCTCAGTGGTTCCAGATGTATACAAACTAAATGTAATTTCTTTTTTTATAATACTTCAGAAGCCAAGTCTAAACACCTGGGCCCTTTGCAGTTCCACTATTCACCCCCCTGTACCAATCCAATTCACAGTCGCCACCCGTTCAGCTCTGAACTTCTACTCCTTTATGAATCGCAGTCTAAATATCCTTGCCCCCCCAGTTGCTGTCTCTGGGGACATCCAAGATTCCCCACTCGAAATATTTTCTTCATATAATGTTTGAATAGCTTTGCCACTGTCTGAAGGCTCTGCTTGATGAACACATTTCTGAGGGTGTCTCCGTTTTTTTTTTGAGAAATGTCTGTTCTCTCCAAGCTGAGGAATTTTTCATTTATGACTTGAGCAGATGTCTCTGTTTCAGACTTATCTCTGGGGGACTGACATTTTTGTCCTTGTGCTTTTCGTTTTCCAGGCCATTTCCCTGTCGAAATGTGAAGAAGACAAACTAAAATAAACACATAAAACGAAGTGTGAATAATATCTTGGCCATTCCATTAATAACTGTAAGCACATTTATAAAACACGTGAGTCCTTGGAAAATCTTAGGCTGGGTGCCTAGCAAATAACTTTAGCAAAAATACCAGTTCTTAGCCTTTTGCTGTATCAAGGCTTAGTCTTCCCCAACCAACACAGATGATAGAGGAAATGCCTGTCTCTGGGAACCACTTTATTCAGGGAGCCTTTAGCAGAAAGGGAAGCAGGCTTTGTGTAAATGGCTTTCTTCAGAAATAGTAAAAAAAATAAGGAAAGATTCTGATTTCTCATTCATAGAAGAGAAAGGGTTGTTCTTTTTCTCATAAAATAGAGCAATATGAAGCAAGCAAATACCTCATATACTTACTGTTTGTAATTCACAAGGCACTTATCTGATATATACTGTATATATACGCTGTACTGTACTGTATATTTGTACACAGAATGAAAACACATAAGATATCTGATAAGTCTGGGACATATAAGTTACCTGTATTATGGTGGAGGCAAATTAACAAAATTAAATTAATTATTGTCCATTGTCACCTGCTGTATATCAATGTAATTAAGGTTTCTGAGAGGCTTAAAACACATTGCCTGACTGTCTCTTTCCCTTAAAGAATTGATTCTTTAAAAAATAAATTTTAAAAAAATGTTGAGGTGAAATAAGTCTTGCTCTTTCACTCCATAGTTTTCAGTGTTGTGAGCCACGTGAAGCATAAGAATATAGTGTAGTCTTCAGGGCTCTTTATGAGTGGAAATGAGATCAAGCTATGAAGGTCCACAAGGGGTTTCCCCATTTAAAAAAAAATAAGTCCAAATACTTTTAAAAAGACATTTACAAAAGAGATACTGTATCTTGGCCTTTTCAGCTTTACTGTGGTTTGTAAGTGTCCTTGTGGAAAACAAAAGTACTGCTGACTGATTTATTTTACACAGTTATCACTGAACTGACAAGCTTGTACATTTTCCAATGGGTTTTATTGCTGTAAGCTCTTTTGGTGCAGCACAGTGCAGACAAAAGTAGACTGGTCACAACAGATTCCAGTTGTCTTTTCGGAATGAAAGGACTGAAGTAAATTTCAATCTTGCAGGTTGGTGGTTTGTGAGCACAGCGGAAGAGCAGGGATGGGTACCGGCGACGTACCTGGATTCCCAGAATGGAACAAGAGATGATTTGGAGCTGAGCACTTCTAGGACTGGAGAAGGTAGGAACTTTAATTAAACAAATCCCAAATCCAATTATTCTCTTTAAGGTTTTTAATTTTTCCTTTACAAAAAACAATGAATCCAAATGGCCTTTTGCAGAACCTACCTAACACTGATTTTGTTAACAGAAACCAAATTAGTAAATGGAATACAATTTAGCTAGTCTGCACAATATTTTGTCACAGATAAGTAGGCTTTGGAGTAATGACCCCAATGTATTTAAATATTATATATAAAAACTAACAAACTAGAAACGATAATAGTCAAGATGACATCATCATCAGGACAAAAACTAATGGCAGCTTCAGTTTAACTGTCCAGCCCAAGCAGTAGAATATTACAGGTTATGAAATCATCCAAGAACAATTTTTGAGAAGAAACATGCCAGCATATCTGGATTTAATCATAATCACCAGAAATGTTTTCTAGACAGACCCGGACACTCTGAGTTGTGTTCCCTTGGGATTCAGATTGAAGCCAGGAGATGATACAATAAAATTTCATTTCAGAGCCCGGCTGAGTGTTTCTATGTGCAGACAGTTCATCTCCAAGAGAAAACCCATTAAACCCCTGTATTCTCTCTTGAGATGCATTCTTAAGAATGTGATAAACTGTACAGTGCAATCTTGACATTACTGAGAGATTTTTTGGAGATCATCTTTGCATGGCAACATGCTCAAACTAAAACTGTTTTAAATTGTTTAAGGATTAGTTTATTCACATGAGATTTCTTCATCAGTCCTACTATATATCATTTTATAATATATATCAAGTGACCATCTTTGTGTGTGGCAGGTGCACTGACAAGACATAGGTGAATTCATCAGTTATTGTGCTGATTAACATTTATGATCAACGTGAGTTGCAGGTTAATAGCCATGCGGCCATCATTGGAAGCAATATAAAGTGTACATCTGTGATGCATATTTTGCACCAGATTGTTGTTGCTGTCTTGTGCCCTCAGGAAGTGCTGCAAATCTGAGGACTTGATCTATGCAGTGCTGTTAAGTTAGTTTGCCATCAATCCTTACAAGTGGAGTTCAGGAGCAACTACTGTAGATGCCTCTGCCAAGACCATAACACTTGAACCTTCCTATTGATTGATCTGTTGTATACAACAATTAGCTTATAGCTCTGCACACTCAATAACACACTCTCTGACAATCAAAATGATCTACACAAAATCCCACTAACAAAGGCTTGACTCCACTGCTCGTGACTTAGTCTAGCCTCCAAAATAACAGTGGTGTGGAAGTGATAAATGGGGCATTTTTGTTCCTCTATTTTTGATCTCATCGCTTGTGGCCATCATAAGTGTGTAACAGTCAGTCATCAGTTAATCCAAAACTGCGCCCAAAATGTCATTTTAATGAATGTTTGTCTATTTATGGAGTATCTCTAAACTGTATACTGATAAGGTGATACATTTCTTTTGATGCTCAATATGCATAATTAAAAATGTAAGATGTTTTGGAAGTTTATTTTCAGTTTTGAAAATAAGAGTTTTGTTTCATTTTCCCGGTACCAAAATCAGATTTTTAATGCTAGGGCGGTTTGAACCTTTTCCATTATAAATACTTGATAATATGGACCCCATGATATTTATGGATGATTTCCAGTAGCTGAAGAGCTAATGGCAGGAATCTTCACAGATCCATAAAGAAAGGGGGGAAATAACACATTCTTCTATCCAGACTGTGGCAGATGGAAAGAAAGCTGGAGTAAAAAAAAGGGATTTATAAATGGATTACCGGCCTTTCTCTGTCATTGAGGTTTAATAAGACCATACAATTGCCAGCAACACATGGCAACTTGCATGCAATTGCTCAGCTGTGCTTTAAATGTCGATAAACCATTTGCAGCTGCAACTGCTTCAAGGTAATTCATTGTTATTTTTTTGTGATCAGGAGCCAGACTGAGTTTTGATAGGAGCAAACTGCAGCTCTCTTTCATTCTGTCAGTGCTAGAATCTGCTGCATCCATCTTCTGCAGAATGGAAAAAGCTTTCTTGTGTCCTTAATGCTCTGTGGTTTCCCCCCAAATGCCCTTTCTCAGTGGCACCACCAGTTTTATATCAGGGATTCTCTGCATTAGTGTTATGTCTGCAGTCTAGCACATTGCAATCTCTGGCTATTACTTTTTTCGCTGTAATACATTTCACTGTAAGTAAACCAAAAGGACCTTCTGTGTTTGTCATTAAGGAGTCTTTTCCTCTGTGGATTACCTATCTGAGATATCGCTTATGGAGGGCAAGGAGGAAAAAAGCAACATTAAAATGAGTTTGTTCTGTCTTTATTCATAACAACTATTTTTTTCCCTTAATTCCCTCACTGTGCATATTAGTATGCCGAATGCCATTTGGTTTTCCATCAAGCAGAAGTATAAACAACAAGGGTCGAGCATTTGAGAGCAATTTTAATGTACTTCAGTGTTTTCTTGCCTGAACAGCAGGGAAGATTTCTTTGTCCATCCTGGAGTTAAAATGGTTGAATGTTAAATTTTATAGCATTCTGTATGCTGGAACGTAGAGTGCTTTTCTGAATTTTAAAAAGGATAATAATGTCTACTTTGCGCTGATAAAGAAATACGAAGCAAACATTAGAAGCAAAGCCTGATCTACCAGTTTTGGACTGCAGTCAGATCTGTCATGCTGAAAAGGGGACTTAATACTTTAATACATTTCAAATTAAATATCCACAGTGTAGAGTACATTAAATGTTCAAACATTTTGTATGTGTTCAAAAGGTAAAACTAACTTATTTTAGACCCTTTTTAAAGTAAATGGGTACACTTTCTATTTTAATTTATGTTGGCTGTTGGCCAAAACACAGAAACCAGCATTCTCTCTCTCCAGTTTTTAAAGCAGATACTTACTGGTGTATTTATTTTTCTGCTTGTATAGTGTTTTTTTTTCCCAAAGTAAATATTTGGCCTCAGGTTATCAATTTAAGTATACAACCTAATTTTTGTTAACAAACGTTTGCAGTATGTCACACTGCAAAGATTGGAAACCACAATATCTTTGCTCACCAAGAATGTTTTATTAATTTAAAAACATTCATAATAATTACACCATAAACATTAATTTCAGTCAAATGGAACAAAATATCCCTCCATTTAAAAAATGAGTCAGGATCACACAGTTGGGACAGACTGTGTTTTAGTGATAAGTCCAAAACGACTTCAAGTCCAAAATAAAAGTGAGAATCCAGGCCAAGAAGTAACATCAACACATCGGAAATTTCAGACAGCTAAGGATTGCTAATCAAAGGGAGGGGTCCATTTTTTTTGGAGGAACAGAAGGATAACTTAGGATGAATGATGCTTAGCACACCAGTTTTTAAGTCTGTTAACCTTTCCAACCTTAACTGTAAACTTCAAGTCTAAATAGACTTATTTGTATAAGAGTCTCACATGGCAGATGATCTGTGATCAACAGGACAATAACTTGGACTTGGACATTTTCAGACATGGGTATTTGTCACTGCTGATCCTCCCAGACAGATTCCCACAGCAATACAAGAATTGTTTGTCACTGTGATTAGTATTTATGTGACTGGTCTGTAAAGGCACCCTGGAGCTCAACTACTGAATCCTTCTCTTACTGTATATGTGTTTAAGTGCCACATTTTATTTCCCAAATCATCCTGTGATGGAGAGGGTTTAAAGAACATTAATAGTGCAGCTCTTCACAGAGAAGCCATAATGAATATTTTTACTGTGATTTGTTTTTAATGTGATGGGAACTGAGAGCTGGAAGCCCGACCCATTTTTCTGTGGGTTTTTATGTATGCATTTATAGATATATCATTTTTATGTATTTCTTTTCATTATTTTTGAAGAAACTATTCTTTTTGTATATTTACTTTTTTATTTTTTTGAAAGTTGCAATGTCTAGATTAAAATAGCTATCAAACTTTTATTATATAATTACACAAAAGATCCCGTTGATCACTTCACAAGAGATAAAGTAATTATTTTGTTCCCTGTCATTAGACTGTGATGGCAGATGTGAAAGGCATTTTACACTTACATCTTTACTGTTTCATCAATCTAACAAACCTCTAATTCTCATCAGAGTGCTGCATTGTAATGAAAAACCGCAAGGTGAAGCTTTTTCTAAATTTTAAGTGGTATACAACAATGAAAACCCTTTGAGGATATCAATGAGTGTTCAATATTTTGAGATAATCCTATTCATGACCTTAGACCAGGACTAATCAATTGCAGTTTTAAGCTTTGTTATAAAAAATATATTCAGAATGAACTGAATTATCAAATGAATCACTAATTAGGGCTAGCAATGGTGTTGGAATGAAGGAAAAGTTCAGCATTGTAGACCCTAGAAAAAGGCTGCCATGCTTGGTATACTGATGGTTGGACATTTTTAAAACTAATTAAATCCTCACAATTCTTGAACTCAAAGGGTCAACATTGTATTTCGCCCATTTTTAGGCATCACTCTTTATCTTTTCACGTAACGACTGTTACTATTAACCCTTTCAAGTCTGCCATATTGGTTTTGTCTCTTGTTTATTTTTACCCCCCCCCCCCCATTCATTACTCATGTTTTTTTCCCCCATTTGTCTCATATTTCTTTTTCATCGTCATCCGTGCTCACTAGTCACTAAGAGGCGCAAGGCTCACCTGAAGAGGCTGGACCGGCGATGGACGCTGGGGGGGATTGTCAACCGGCAGCAGAGTCGAGGTGAAGAGAGACGTAGGCCTCACTTCTCTCCACCCCACCCCACCCCACCCCGTTTTCCCATCCTCCATCCCCTTGCACAAATGCCTTCTGCATGCACGGCTTCAGAGTGTGAATGTCCATGTTAGCAGTAAAGCCTTTGTCACACTACATGACTCGACACGACTTCTAGTCGGAAAACATGTCAAATTTAACGACTGCAGTTGCCGAATCTCACTGCCTTTTCTGTCCTAGACGGTGTCTAATTATATGACTAGGAATTGCAGGGGGTGACTAATTACACAATTTCTTCACGACTTTTCATCATGGTTCCAGATATCATATTACACTGCAAAAGTACCGCGATGTCGCCTCATTTTGGCAGCCAATCAACGTGGAGCACAAGTAAACAAACATAAAACATCAAACAGACATTTGTGCTGGCTCCAAAGTTTGATGAGCCTCTCCTCCATTTGCACAGTCCAAAACACTTGCTCTCCTTCTTTCCTTGCAGCCACATTGTATGCATTGTACTTCTGGTTGAGTGCTCATTGGCTGTTGATTGTCACAGACACAAGAGCCCACCCCTGCGACTTGCAATTCGCTACGAGAAAATGTGTTTGATTTTGTCAAAGCGAGTCGCAGAGAGTTGTAGTGGCTATTATGAGCACTATGACTTAGTCACTGGGGGTGTCACACTACACACCTGACGGTAACGAGCGCGCACTGCGACGCTCTACAACTCGCTGTGATTTTCTGACGATTATGTAAATCAAGGCTACGACTGAAAATTCTAGGTAAAGTCGTGTAGTGTGAGGCCGGCTTTAACAACAACCATGCTCCTTCCTTATATGTGTCTTGCTTAAGAGTCAGGGGACCACTCTTGTGAGAGCTAGAGAACATCAGATGACCGGGTCTACTTTTTAACTCTGGCCTAGATTTTATTTTATAGAAAGCAGTTGCATGCACAGAAAGGTCTGTAAAAAGTAAAAGGAAAACTCAGGGAAAAGGGATAGAAAGAAGAAAATTTGTTTTTTTCAAATCAGATTCAGGAGAATGTTCATAAGACCTATACCCACCTAATTTAAAAACAACGCTTGTAGCTAAAAATGTTAATGAATGAACACGGACAAGTGGCTCCCCTGAAGCCACAATTAACTTGGAAATGGCAGCTACGTTAATTTTGCAATTTTCGGTTATTATGCAGTTGACCTAAATTCCTCTCACATGGAATTGATGAAGTTTCAGGTTTATTTCTTGCCAAAAATATGTGAAATTATTACAAATTGCTGAGAATATCCAAAGTAATGATTTAATCCAGTTGCTCATTGCTTTCTGGGGAAAGGGGCATGTACTTGACACAATGTATTTTAAATTAATATAAAGCCTTAATGGGGCATCATGGCGGAGCTGTGTTTCGCGTTGCTGCCACACGGGGCTGGGAGCTTGGGGGCAGTTCCTGGGGTGCTATCTGTGTGGAGTTTGTAAGTTCTCCCCATGTTCACTTGGGTTTCCTCTTGGTACTCCAGTTTCCTCCCAGAGTCCAAACACATACCAGTAGGTTAATTGGCTTCCAGTGTTTGTGTCCATCTTCCCTGCAATGCACTGTCATCCTGTGTAGGGTGTATCCACGCTAGATAAAGCAGTTAGAAAATGGATGGATGGATAAAGGTTTATTAGATTTCTTTGCAGGTTTTAATATACAAAAACAGGTTTCAACATTTGAAGTATGGAAAGCAGATATTTAAATAACTGTTATTTGAGCTAGTGAGGGTGACAGCATTTTAAGAGAGCATTAAAAAAGCAGGCCCAATCCATCTGTAAACAAGAGCTTTATGCATTATTCATTTACGTCAAACCTGAGGACACACGGATTATCTCTCTTAAAGTGGTTCTCTTTACATGTGAACTGATTGGTGGCTTTCACAGTATACTGCACAGGAATCCCACTGGGTCAGTTCACATGGCTAATTTAAATGTGCCCCCCCTCAACATTTCTTCTTCTTTTCCTGGCGTTGAGTGAAAAGCAGGTGGTCCCTATAAAGTAAAAAAAAAACTTGACATATAATCCCCAAAGATATTTTTCACAAGACTTTAAAATTCATAAGTAATAAAAAGACACATAAAATAAAAAGGCCATGTTTGCATTTTGCACACATTAAAAATAGATTAATGCAATGGGCTTACAAATTTGCCAAGAATCACTGCCCTTTTGAGTAACATTAGCTTTTATAACAGGTAGTTTTTGAGATGTAGTTTTGTTTCCCTGTAATATGGACAATGACAACCTCATTCTTCAGCCCTTTTTAGCTTGTTAGGAAATTGAGTTTCCGGTGGTTTGCTTCTGCTTTGTTGGAACAAGTGAAAGTAGAATAAGAGTTGAAAGCATTACCTAACTAATTTGAAACTTAGAATACAGCCCTGCATAATCAGTCTGGCACAATGCAGAACTCGCAAATCAAACAGGTCACAGACGTTTGGGAAAAAAGCATGCTTAGTAAATGCATGGAGTTTGTAATACCCAGTAAGATAATTTGCTATGGCTGTTTTAAATCAGCATGTCAAGCTCCAGGTGGCATTCATATGTGTTACTGTATGTGTTGTTTACTATTCTCTATGAAAACTTACTGGCAGGGATTAATAGAGTATTTCGAAATGTCCATCTTTACCCCTTTCAAAAATAGCTAAACATAAAAATGATTTTTTCAATTTGCTGTTAGAGAATAATCACAATAATAACATTGTTTAAAAGCCAAATTCTGAAGTAAAGCAGAAACAACTCATGTTTTTCTCTTCTGATCTTTAAGTCTAATTGCCCTGGTGTTGAAATACACTCTGGCAAAGATATAGTAGGGCAAGGCATTTGTTCATTTTCACAAAACGCCCAGCAAAGTTTTCATGAGCTAATGATGTGCCATTGGAACCGAGTGGTGGAAAGTCCACAGATTTCTGTGATCTTCTGACTGAAGGGACATAAAACGTATGTTTCATTACTGTTGAATCTGCTTGAATGCGTCACCTAACAGACATTACCCTTTATTAAAAAGGAGAAAAATCAGCAGTTTTGGTGCTCTGAAGTCTATTTAAAAGTGCCTAAAGTTTATAGGGCACATATCTTGAGCGAATGAGAGAGAAACAGCTGGTACAAATTTGTAATAATGTTCAGACTGGAGATTTTTAGGAGCTTTACAATGATAATGAAGAGAGGTGTGGATAGGTAGCTGCCATTTCTTGACTGTCGACCCCAATAAATTTCTTGGAATATCACATTGTGTGATGCATCCAGTTAACAAACCAATGGGAGAAGTGTTTATTTATTACCTGTTCTTAACTTCTGTAGTTAGCTAAGTTGTAAAATGCTATTTTTTTTCAAGGAGGCAGATAAAACAGACGGGGAAGTGAAGACATTTCAATTCCAGCTCACAGTTGCTGCTGGCAACTTTGACCACAGAGTATGAAAACAAATGTCTTCTGGATGTAAGAGACATTTTCCACCATAGAAAATAATCCAACCATGAAAATACTGCTGATGTTCGGAAAATTATTTATACAGGATTTTTTTCCTCTTTTTTCTGTCTTGCGGTCAGGAAGATGAGAAAGTTTGCTATGTGCCAGTTCAAGCATGTTTCGTCTTAACATGAAACCTATTCAGAATTTCCCCTTTGGAAAACATTCCTAAAAAGACAAGGCAGAACTGAAAGCACAGGGATTCCAAGGTCAAACTGTGCTCCTTGGTTAATCTAAAGTCTCTTTTGTAAAATAATAGGGGGAGAAAAACTTTATACTGTAGATGTATATATATAACCTGTTGTGCCAGTAAGAAAAGAGTACACTACTGTAATTTACTTTAGTATTTTAATTGTCCCATATTATCTCACACAAAACTATCCAATTTAATGAAGAATAAATAGAATTTGGAAGAAAATAGAAAAAAGGCCATCCCGAAAGGTACCTGGTTCAATTGCAGGTTGAGATTTGTGTTAGAGCCTTGGTCACCAGCTGCATACTGTATGGCTAGTGATCCAGGCCCTTGAGGAAGTTATTGTACCGTACATCACAAGCTGACTGTGACCAGGACACCCCAAGTGACAGCATGCAGTTGGCAAAGTGCTGCCAGGGCAGGGTTGGATTAGATAGCCAGCTAGCTCTTGGCTTTCCAGCCCCTGTGACTTCACAGGTGTCTGTGGACTTGTAGGGAAGTCAGTAAGAAATACATTGATCTTTCAGCATTTCACATTAAACTGAAACTGTAAATGGCTCGATGGACTGAGCATTTTTCTTCCTGTGCAATGCAGGAGTTGATGCTAAATGAGCTGAGACACAGAAACAATTGGCAATCATAAATTGGGTAGGAATTAAACATGTCCAATCATTGCAGTGCTGTGCTAAGAACAGTGGGGGTTTTAGCTTTTAAGTGCATTGTCTACGTGTTTTATGGTGATGAGATTTGAAATGTCTTTTTCATTAGCTGTTTTAACTGCAATGGTTAGCATAAAGCAAAAATGACATCTAGGCAGACAAAAACAAGAGAAAATTATACCACATCTGTAATGGGATATGCAACAATTGTGGAATTAAATTACAGGAAAGTACAGATACTGTATAAAGTCTCCTCCCAGGCCTCATTTTGTTTGATGTAGATAACGCTTTGGTGTGGCTGTAATTCATTACTGTCGTGACATGGCACAAAGTGCAGCACCAGATATAGATCTTCCTGAGAGGGAGTAAAAAGTTATTATTATTATATCTGCCTTTGCTGTCTTTTTTCAAAGGCATTTATTTCTGCAAACTGTGGAGATAAGGGATGATGGCTTGTATATTACAGGGTTGAATTTAAAACTGCACAGGAACAGCATAAATAGAGGTTGAAGAAACTATAACAACTTTTCCCCTAGAATAACAACATTTCCCCTTAACTTTACTATTTACAAAGAATTTTTGGGGTATTACATGTTTATTCGCCAGTTTATTAATTGCAACAGGTGCTCATACTTGCAATTTTTTAAGTTGCAAACATCCTAACAACCTGTGACTTAAACTTTATTCGTTTGGACATTTCATCTACCACTTTCTAGAATTAATGTCCAATGATCTTTAAAAAGCTTTCTATGACCAAATCAATAAATTAACCGAATACTTATCATTCGGACAATGTGGTCAGTTACAGGGTGCTGGTTCTTACATATGCAGTATTTGATTTTTTCCTCTGCAGTGGCATCAGATTGGTACTGTAGATATTCCTTTGTAATTCAGATTTTAATGATTGTTCGCTTTCTTGATTTCAAACTTTTAAGTCTCAAACTTAACTGTCTTTCATGGAGTAGGGAATACATGAATGATGAAATGTTAGATGAGTACAGGGTTGATGATAGAGATGTTGTGTTTTAAGTGAACGTGGTCTCATTTTTGCACATTTTTCTTTCACAAAAAAAATTAAAATCTGCAGGGAGGTTCTAGGTGCTTCATATTATACAATATTAGAGATCTTACTATTTTCTAGTTTATTGTAATTCTGGGTAATGGTGCATGCCATTTCTTGATATCACCATTTGTTTTCTTTAAATAAAGAGGAAGGTGATAAAGCTGAATGACACCTCAGACCAGACAAGTGAAGTAAAACAGCGAAATCGAAACTGGATAGGTGAACATCACAAGTTGTTAGATTACACTGTGTACTTTAGATATCTTTGCAGGGAATAAGCATATGCCACAGTCAAATGAAGTTACAAATACAGAATTTGGAACTGTTCTTTTGACTAATATTTGTAAAATATAAGCTCTTTCCACTACTTTGGTGCTTTTTAATTGTTTTAAGACATGAGACCAAAATAATTTTAACCTAGCCAATTAGTTACAAAAATGTGTACACTATGTTAGTAATTGATATTTTGTTTGGTTGTAGCAACAGTCATTGGTAGATTAATCCAAGAGAAGTCTCAATAAAGCTAGGAAACGTAATGAATTTAGCTGCTCACAATTTCCTTACAATTGTTATCAACATAAATTAGTTAAGAATGCATTTAGGTAAATCTTTTGCCAAAAATGTAGACTTGTTTTCTTGAAGGTGATCTTTTATATAAGGATTTTATCCTGTAATATTTGTATCCCTAGTCTTTGGACGTATGGTATTGTATTGTAATTTAATTACATTTATGTTTCTTAGATTATTTTTAAATTAAATCCTGTTTTTTTAGAGGTCCAAGAAGGATATCACCTACCTAGTTTCCAATCAACCATTTTGAGTTATGCAAGTGTTTTATAGATTGTGAGCACATCATCTTAGTGATTAAAAATGTTGTGATGCCATGGCCATGTCTGCTGAGCTTGCTGGGACAGTTGCAGAATAGTTTCTGACGGTGCTATCAGGTAGTATGTTTGCTAAGACTTTTTACCATATGATTCCAAAAGCATGATGCAAGTGTTCTTGTTCTTGCTGCTCTCTTTTCCCCTTTGCTTTTCCTTCTCTTCACTCTGCATAGGTTTTCTGATTAATAATTTGATATGCAGTATGACCATTTGTTATATGCTCTTTGACTGAGCTGAACTTAAGCAAATACCAATGTTTTTCTATCCTGCGTTGTCAAGTGGGCTTTTTCCATGTTTTTCAGCCTCAAATAATTTCCTTCAGTTTCCTTAAACTGGCAGGTGGACGAATGCTGGCTCTGTCTGGTCTTCAGGGAGATCAGAAATCTGGCCACTCCTTAACTTTAATTTGAGTAAAGAACTACCCTCCCCACCATGCATCTTCCCTGTGACATAATTTGACAGCCTCCCGAAGCCATGTGATGTATTGCTTTGAAATCTAATAATATTTTACTTGTGCCCCAGTGTCCAGCAGTCTTCTCCACCCTTGAGTAGACGACAAGGATTCATGTAAATGTTTAACTTATTCAAATCCACCTTCACAATACATTGCTGGCCAGGTATCAAAAGAAACACAAGAGATCATAGATCTTAGTTATTAGTCACAATATTTTAGTTTGCTTCATATGTTTTTCATCATACTAATGAAGATACAATTATTTTTTTCTCTTGATTTTTAGCATCTGGTCAGTGCTTATGTAAGGAGTATAGTCAGCTAGAATATTGTAACTAGCGTTATGAGTATTCTCTGTACGTACAGTATGTGTAACAGCTACTATAGGTTCTCTAGTTTCCATTTTATTTGAAATTGTTCAGAATTTTCTTCTCTGATTCACAGCACCTTTGTAAAAACTAGCCTGGCTGCTGGAAAGATAGAGATCTGCTTGTGCCTGCCTTCAGGAAATGTGCTTTTAGGGTTGTATCTACAGCAAGTGCTCAGTTGGTAAAGAAAAAAGCACTTACAAGAACTACCCAAGATGTACTGTAGGGACAATTGTCATGATTTTTTGTCTGTAGGTTTGTCAAATGCATTATGCTATCACCACACCAATATAAGTCAAACAGAAGGATCAACATGAAACAGTGCCACTCTAAAAAGCAGCCTCACTTGATGAGGTAGAACTGGGTACTTATCACTAATTTATTTGACTTAAACCTTTATGCAAAATAAATTACATTTCTACCCAATTATGCAGTTGTGTATTTTACTGGAGCAATTTGGTAAAATATTTTGGGTCGATTTAGATCTTGCTGAAGATCCAGAACCCTAACCTCTACTTCACATTACTGCTGACCTAAGTTAACTACAAGATGTTTTTTGCATTGCCATAATGCTTTGGATTCATGTACCACTTATGCATATTACATAAAACATACCATATGAGGTGTGAAAAATGGATGTAAATGCTGCTTTTTGGACGAATTCGTAAATAGGAGTTTCTTATTTGAATGCTAACAGGTGATTGATTTGAAGAAAGGAGTAAGGGAAAGTTGCTATACAGCAATTGCAGTCAGTAATAATATTATTTTTACCTTTCTCTTTCTTGCAAAAGAGGAGAAATACATCACAGTGCAGCCATACACCAGCCAAGGCAAGGACGAGATTGGGTTCGAGAAAGGGGTCACCGTGGAGGTCATCCAAAAGAACCTGGAAGGTTGGTGGTACATCAGGTGAGGCGTCCTTCAGATCAGTCTTTGTAAACATTCCCAGTCACTTTTTTTATCTGTATAGCTGTGCGCTTTATAGTTCGTAGATATGTGTGACATGGTTCTGTAGCCCTCTCATTTCTGCAGAAATTCTCCTGCACACCCTCCACTATGTCTCAGCAAACCATGATGAATTTCATGCACCTGGGGTCATAAAATGTTTGAAAGAAAATATCTGCAAATACACCACAGTGTTCATTTTGATTTTCACTTTTCACCGTCTCAGCTAAAGGAATGAAAACAGAAAGCAGCAGTGCATCACAATACTGACTTCTACTTCTACAGCAAGCGTCAGTCTCAGGGGTCAGCACTAAGATGTAATTTCTTTATGAAACGATGACGTTATATTGGGTATTATGTGAAACATTTGTATTACTGTGTATCAGAGTATTATAAAAAGATTATAATGTTTCAAAGATTCTTGCAAATTGTATCTAAAAATATTTATAAATAAATGTATTATTGCATACTTTATGCTGATGTTAAGCCTCTGCTTATGTATTGCAGTGTTTTAGCTTTGCCAAACTAAATTTGCTTTTAGTCTGCTAGAAATTGCACAAATCTCACTTTGTTTTCTGGAATGTGATACTGAGTACGGGAATTTTTTCTGTGTGGAGGTTGTGCTTAGGAGACAAATTACAAAACCAAAAATACATTATATTGACAGTGTAGCTTTTTACACCCTTCGAGATCCTAAATATTTAAAGCTGAGATAAACAAAAGGACATTTATTCCAAACATCAGCTCATAAGATTCTAGTGCACATGCCCATTAGCTGATTTCGCTTCTCCTTAACCATAATCATGATTCCTTCTGCATTGTTGTCTCCCCAGATACCTACTTTGAAATGAGCCCTCATTTCCTTTCCTTCGTGTATGCTTTCTCTGCTCAGTTTGCTCATCCCGGGAGTATCTCGAAGATGTAGAACTAAAAAGCAGATGTAGATCGTAATCAGAGTAGATGATCAAATGGAGAATATTTTCCTGTTTCTTCTCTTTCATGAAATATTCCCCTTTAGGTCACCTCACTTCTTTTGGTCCACAACAGTTTTTCTTTTGATGAGATCTGCAACAAACATCAACACTCTGCTTCTTTAAACTTACAGTGCATTGCAAAAGTAAAATAAGCATACTTGTCACATATAGCATATACAAAGAAGCATAAAAACCTCTCTTTGCTTCTCAGTATACTGTATATGATACATGGCACCTACTGTATTTGAGCTGTTGATGCAGGTATGGTACAGATTGCTTATTACTGTATCTTACCTGGGTCTGACAGAGGAAGTGATTGTGATACATTGTGTTGCAGCATTACATTGCTGGGGTTGCAAGGACATTGGCTGTGCAGAAACAATGTGCAGGAGGGATGACTTCTGGATTTTCCAGTGTTAAAACACTGTGCAATGTGTGTAAATGTAAAACATAGGAAACAATAGACATTTACTATTTCTTGTTCATGGCCTACATGTCTTTATAGAGACATTTCTCTTCTTTGTATATTCTCTGATGTCAATATTAAATTGTGTTAAAAACATACACACAGCACATATGAAAACTGTTTTTGGAAACATGTTGTCTTAGTTGCAGCAGAAATAAAAGTTTTCATAAGTACTAACATAAAGTGGAAAAAAATAGATTCACTAGAATTGGTTGTTCTGCTCATATAAATATTAGTCCTGTACAAGTACAAAAGCTGGTGCAGCCATTTTTCTTTGGTTTTAAAGTGGGCTCTTACATCCACTTTCTCTGAGGCAATGCTTGCTTACATTGATTGCAGCTTGATGTCCGCTGACTAACTAGTTGGCTTTGGTTCCTCCTCTAGGTACCTGGGCAAAGAAGGCTGGGCTCCCGCGTCATACCTGAAGAAGGCCAAAGACGACTTCTCCCCTCGTAAGAAAACCCTGACCGGCCCTGTGGAGATCATTGGGAACATCATGGAGATCAGCAACCTCCTCAACAAAAAAGCAGTGAGCGAGAAGGACGTGCAGACTGACAACGAGCCCGATGAGCTCCACATGGCCAAGAAGGAGATCAGCTTGCCCATCCCCTGCGATGAAAGGAGAAGCAGCGTCACCCTGCAGGACAGCAAGGGAAAAACGGAGCAGGGCTCTCCGGCTGTGGCCAGGATCGCCCCACAGAGAGCAGAGATCGGTGAGTCTGCCTAACAGCCATTGTTCAGGTCCCAGATTCTTTACAATGTTATGGTTGCCTCTTGTGACCTCTCTATTGTTGTCTATTGGTTTTATTTCAAGAATAAAGGGCTCAGTTACATGACCAAGCCTGTGATTTACCACATTAATCTACAGTGAAATTGTTTACTTGTCTATCTAGATGATGACTTATGGAAATTTCTAGACCTAGTAAAATTCTTTTATGGTTACCTCACCTCGCAGCCCTGTCAATCTGCACCATTGCAGTACTTGGAGGCTAACATCTACTTAATTGGTGTATTCACTTTGCTAATTATCAGTTCAGTAATTCATGAGTTGGTTGTATTGAAATTCTGTAATGGGTTTGGAAGAGGATTGGAATGGCCACAGATTGAGTATCCCTGGACTAGATTATTTTCCTTCATGATCAGAATTGTCCTCCAGTACCTTTAACTCATTATTTCTATTTCTATTTCCAAGTTTCCAAAGTTTCGGAACATTAAGTTTTCAATTTTTATTTTGATGTTAAGAGTTAGTAAATTATAAAGTTCTATATTCTGACATTTTGTACCCATTGTTTGTAGTTTTTAAGGAAGTCTGTGAGCTACAATTATACCTTGTATTACTGTATTACTGACAATTAGTGTCAAAGCTACAAAAGCCATTTGAAAATGACTACCTTTATAAGAAGACCTATTAGAGGCTTATAAATCCTTTTTTATATGCTTACTTTGCTCATACTATATAGTTTTGACTGGAATTATGAATTAATGCAGTCAGTGCCTGTGTCTTTTCCTGTATCTCTGTTAAGGTACACTTTATGTATTTCTTTTATGGAATACTATTCTAAAATGTTGTCAGTAATAAAGTTTCTCATCTATTAACTAATATACATTTAAACTTCAGCATGTTTTAACCTTGCATACATAATGATTTGTGTTGAAGTGTGCCGAAATCCAATTTAGAAAGAAAAGCTTGATTGATAATGGCTTTTAAGGACCAAGTTAATTCCCCTCCCTTTAATAAATCAACATCACAGGCTTCATTGTTAAGGGTTTTGGGTTCAAAGGATTTGGGACTGGTTCCATTACATATAACTCCCTAGCAGTTTCAACTGGCATAATGAGTTCTTTATACTTATGGAACAATAGCACAGATTGATGAAGTTTCAAATCAAAATTCAATACGGGCAATTTTTTGGGAAAGGAATTTAAAAAGTCTTTTTAAAGATGTTAATAAGGACCTCGTGAATATGGGTGCTAATGTCAAAACTTCAGTGTACCAGTGTACCAGCTGTCAATGGCTTGGTAACTGTAACAGTGTATTTATATTCTTACACTACTTATATAACTAGTTACACTGGAAAAGTATTCCATATCCTTTTCAATTAAAACAAAATCCATAAATGATTATCACTGAGATAAAGTCTGTACATATAAAAATGCTTGGTGTGTGGCACAGGGTGCAAAACAGGACTACGCCCAGGACAGAATGCCAGCCCATTGCAGAACACACCACTCACACATTGGAAATGACAATTAACCTGTAGAGACAGGATGTTTCTGCACTTTGGCAGGAATCTTCCATGCCCCCATGCCAGCCTTTGAGAATGTATAACCCTGGTTTGAAATAATACTGCCAAACTTCATTTCTACAAATAGAAAGAATGAAGTGAATATTTGATATACGCTTAATTTCATCACCCTTTCATAAAAAAATCAGCCATTAGTAAAGACGATAGTGTATAATTCTTCTTTTATGTTTTTCTGCTTGCAACTAAATTTGAAATGCTTAATTTACAGTCTTCTACGGTTTTAACATATTTTAACATGCTGTGATTGCTTGTTATGTACAGAAGGTTTTTAGGCTCCTACATGATACACATGCAAAGTGCTAATATACTGTATAGTGCAAACATAGTTGTTGATGGTGTCTTTCTCCTTCCTAGGTTCTCCTAACCTGAGACAGAAACCCCCACCTAGGAGAGAGGCCAGCCTGGTCAGTGTTACTTACAGTATTCTTTTCACCTTCCATTTGTCACAACATGGCATTCCATTCCACTCATTTCCACTGTAGTTCATCAGTTCCAAGTAACTGTGAAGAAAGACTCGGCAATATCGAGTCATGTGGATTCTGGTAAAAAACACAATGCCTTACGCAAGCTGCTTGTGTGGAAATAATCAAGTTACATCTGGTGATACTTTCTGGCATTGGAATGGAAATGCTTTTCTTATAAGTGTTTTGATATTTACTTAAAGTTGTTTGTATATATTTGTTAGAGGGATGTGTTAAAGGTCAGGATTTATTTACATAAAATATCTGTTGCCATCATTTGTTTCTAAAGAGTTACACGCAGAAGAATGTTAACTTCACCCTAAATAAGGGTGTGGGAAATTGGTCAGGGTTCTGGACGCTCAACCGGAAGGCAGCATATTTAAATCCTGGTGGGGCACTATTGTTGAACCCTTGAGCAAGGTAGTTCACTCAGATTGCTCCAGTACAATTCCCAGTTTTATAAACAGGTATGAATATACTAGTGTAAGTTGCTTTGGAGAAAGTCAACAACCAAATAATAATAAATGTCTCTTGCTTCTGCTTAGAAATTATCCATTTATGGTTAATTCGTTTCTGAATATTTTACAAAAGCAAATTAATTTTACGTTTTAGTAAGCCTTGTAGATTCCATAATGGGCTCCTGAATCTTCAATTATCCTCCTCCTTCTCAGGGATTCCAGTTGCCAAAGCCTCCTGAGCCCCCTACTGTTGAAGTGGAATACTACACCATAGCAGAGTTCCAGTCATGCATATCAGATGGAATAAGTTTCCGTGGAGGACAGAAGGCTGATGTAAGTTTTTTAAACCATCTATGTTTTGCACATTCCAGCTATTTTTACCATTTTTGAATGAAGCAGTTGACAATTATTAGAAAAGTCATTTCTTTTCCTCCTGTCATGACTCAAGAGACCATTACGTCTATAACAAATGAACCCTTTTATTACTGAAAAAAAAGTCAAACAAGAAACAGGTCATTACAAAGTGAGGGAATTGAACTAAGGGTCACAGCGCTGCGAGGCAGCAATTCTAATCACTGCGCCACTGTGCCAAATCTACTGAATTAACTATATTAGTTCCATTTTCCCATTTTTTATTATAACAGAACCGTCCTGGATATGAATTAATCTTAATTTATACAAATCAATATTTTCGAGGAAAGAAACAAACTTAGAAACATCAACTGCTTTGCCCTGCACCTCAGGACTGACAAAGTGAAACTAATATCCCTTGTCAGATGTTTTAGTCAGTTAATGTTGTAGACTGTTTGGAAATTGGAATTGGTTAGTTTTGATGAACATAGTTTTACCGCTGTCACTCTCATTATGGGAGTGGTGAGAATGGTTTATATTTTCCTCTAGAATGTGCAGCATTAGAGTCTAACTTGCTAAAAGTCCCACAGCACCAACAGCAGAGTTAGCATCTAAAGATGTTGTGTAACTCACTGACAATACCTCAAGCTCACTGACATCCCAAAAAATCTCATAGTTGCTTTTCCACGGCAAGCTAAGGACAATGAGGCTCACTGGAAACCACTTGAGCCTGGCTACGCTGAAATAGTTCTGGACAAATACTCACTGAATCCCAATCACCAATAGGTTATGACATAGCCTAGATTTGACCTTTAATTTTGACCTTTATTTTGAATATTTCTATGGCCACCAGTTGAAGAAGACATTGTTTATACTGAGGTCCATATTCCACATTAAAGTCATCTATCTGTGAATAATGTGAATCATTTGAACTTTGTCTCTGAATATGATTTGGTTTATGTAACAGAAATAGTCTAGATAATATTATAAATTATATTGAAGGACTATTTGGACCTATATCTTTTTTTTAAATCTTAATATTTGGTTTGACTTAAAAATGATGTTCTAATTTAAGAAAGAGGGAGATCATTCAACATTAAACAGATACAAAGTTGTCTAATCCAGTTTTCTTTACTCCTAGGTCATTGAAAAGAACTCTGGCGGATGGTGGTATGTCCAGATTGGGGAAAAGGAAGGCTGGGCACCTTGTTCCTACATTGACAAAAGAAAGAAACCCAATCTAAACCGAAGAACCAGCACTCTGACTAGGCCAAAGATCCCTCCCCCAGCTCCACCAACCAAAAAACAAGATCAAGAAGAGGCTGGCCCTACAAGCAGCACCCTTCCAGCTGAAGCCACAGACTCCCCTCAAAAGCCCAAGTATGAGGAGCCAGAATATGATGTCCCTGCCATTGGTTTTGATTTGGAGCCAGAGCCAGACCATGTCAAGCGAGAAACGTCTGTTGATAGTAAGAATGATGATGCATCCTCTGGGAAAAGCTCCCAGCAGTCTTCCAAGCCCTCTCCTGTTTCTTCCCTCCAGAGAGCCTCGTTCAAGGTGGGGGAGTTTACTGACGACGTCGCTCAGGAAGAGGAAACTATATACGAGAATGATGGCTTCAGGCCTTACTGTGAAGATACGGCATCCAGCAAAGAGTCGAGTGGTGACTCAGACTCTCCAAAGAGCAACACCCTGTCAACGGCCCGCAAAGTTTCATCCTCCAGGTCATCTCTGGGAAACACAAGGACTGTGAAAAAAGTCCAGCCGGAACTAGCCAGAAGCCAGTCTCTTACCAAAACTGAAGACACCAAGCTGAGGTCTTCTTCAGATGCCACCCAGGGAGTAACTAAACAGCTAGGCCTTAGAAAAGAAGTAGAACAGAGAATTGGACAAAGCCCTTCTACCAAACCCAAACCCCTGGTAAGACCCAAACCTTTGCTGACCAAATCGGAGCCTCAGAGCCCTGAAAAAATGGATATCAGTACCCTGAGGCGTCAACTGAGACCAACAGGACAGCTGAAGCATGGGCTGAAGGCCTCCAAAGGCGAGGATTCAGAAACTGCCTCTGTGATCTCATCAGAGGACTCAGTGTCCTCTCGAAGCACCTCAGATCTCTCCAGCATCTATTCCAAGGGCAGCCGAGGAGACTCAGACTTTGAAACCACCATCTACAGGACCACAGACAGCTATGAAAAAGTGCAAGATTCTGAGATCAGCTTTGCTGCTGGAGTGGAGGTGGAAGTGGTGGAGAAGCAAGAAAGTGGATGGTGGTACATCAAGTGTGGAGATGCTGAAGGCTGGGCTCCTACTTATTACCTGGAGCCTGTGAAGCAGGGAGATGCAGCAGGATCAGAGTCTGAAGGTATCATGTCCAAACAGAGCAGTGGAAGTAAATCCAACAGCTTAGAGAAGAATGAACAGAGAGTTCTAGCCCTGAACAGCATTAACCAAAGTATGAAAAAGATTACTCCCCCAATTCCATCAAAGCCTCCCGGTGGCTTCTCTAAACCTACAGGAATGGTGAATGGCTCTGTGAAAATGAGGAATGGGGTGCGCCAGTTAGCAGTGAGACCTCAGTCTGTCTTTGTTTCAGCACCTGTCAAAGACACCAACCTTCTCTCAGGGTCCTTGCGTAGAAATGAATCCCTTAACTCCACTGACCAGTTGAGATCTGGAGTGACAGTCCGCCGTAACTCCTCCTTCAGCTCCGTGAGGCCGCAGGTTGACAACAAACTGAGGCAGCCAGATAAAGTGGGAATGGGCAGCACGGAAGCTTTGGGAAGGGTCTCTCAAAGGAATGGGATCCCGGTCTCCACAGTCAAACCCAAACCCATTGAGAAATCTCAGCTGATACAGAACAACCTCAGAGAAGTTTATGTTTCCATAGCTGATTACCATGGCGATGAAGAGACCATGGGATTCCCAGAAGGGACAAACTTGGAAGTTCTTGAAAGGAACCCCAACGGGTGGTGGTACTGTCAGGTGCTTGACAGTGGGCGACCCCAAAAGGGCTGGGTGCCCTCTAATTACTTGGAAAGGAAGAACTAGCATTGTACCTGTTTGTATAAAACTGTTTTTTAAAGACATCTAAATGCAATGTAGTATAATGAACGAGACACTTTTAGTGCTGGTTTGCTAAAACAAAAGAAATACATTAAGACGGTATAAATTGTCAGTGATATGTTACGATTAAAAAAAGAAAACATTGGCAAGAGATTTGGGGTGGCCACCCCAGTGTCTTAAACAACATCTGGGTTTTATTTTGTTAATTTTGATAAAAAAGAGAAAGAAGATGGTTGCATCTTGTGAAAGGAGTAAAAATGTGCGGGCCTTTTCTGTCACTTTTGTCCATCACTCCCGTTCACCCGACTGTTTGGGTTTGCCGAAAGGATGCCTTTCGAGATGGTTTTAAAAATAAACAAAAGAAGGAAAAATATCACAGCCTATTCAATTTAGTGCCATAGGAATATGAGTATGTAACAGCACCAAAGCTGTGTTTCAATAATAATTCAAAGGAAAAGAAGTGACCCGAACAAGTAAGTAAAGGAGTTATAAATAAGCCTTGGGTTCTTAAAACTTACATTAAGAAAACACAACAATGACAAAAGGGTATTAGTGACTCAGTGATCACCCATTGAGATCAGAAAAAACACCTTAGTTTTTTTTTCCTCTTTTAATTCTTGTACGTTTTGTCTGTATGTTATTTTCATGACTTCCTTAGAGATGTATTTCTGCTCTAGTCTTGTGACATCCATACTGCATTGTCAGCCTGAAGTTATTTAGCCCCTCTGGCAGATTTTCTGTTATGAAAAATTTGCAGCAAAGAAAGTCACAATTGGCTTACGTTTTTGCCATTTATCTCATTTCTTCAGTTTTAAAAATTCAGTGTCAAATCCAGTTGAATAAATCTGTCTGAAAAACTTGAAATTCTTTCATCTCAGATTTTCTTAACAAAAGACAAAATCTCATGGAGAACATTGGGGATAGTAATTTTAGTCCCTTGGTGAAATGAATTTGAGCTTTCTCTACCCGTAGGCAGTGATTGGTTTACAGTGTATAAAATACTTTATTTTTTTTATAAGTAGTTCCAGATAACAAAAAAAATACTTTTGTATATATTGCTGCTTTATGTGTTCTCCTAACACCCATCTGCTGATGCAGTGGGGAAGGACAGTGGGAATTAGGTTTCCAGGAAAACAAAACCATACTGGAAAAAAAGGCTTGATAACTGCCGACAAAACCCAGGGATGTAGCTGTATAGCATTAAGCCCTAAATGTGATTAAACCAAAGAGATGAATGCCATTGTAAAGGAAATGCTGTAATAGCTTTTGTATTTAATTGGAGGGTACATGGAATTTGTTCATCCCAATATCCAAATGCAATTGTAGGAAAAGGGTGTAATTATAAAAAAGATTGCTGTAGTATATTGATATCTGAAAGCACTTGATATTCTTACCCCTAGACAATTTAAAGCACATGTTGTCGCACAGGGTTCATTTCAAGACAACTAATAATATTGCTGCGCAGTATTATTTAAGTTGAATTTTCAGACCAGGGAAGTTTTTTTTTTATTTTATTTTATTGATATTACTTTTATGGCACAATTTTCCTTGATCCTAAAAAAAGTAGCCAGTTCTTGCCCTTACTGAGATTGAAAGGTCCAGAAGACTCCAGTAAAAGCTGCTTTAAACTGGACTTATACTGGTATCAACTGGAGTCTGGTTTCACTGGTTTGCTTTTAACAGAGCCCCACTGAAGCCAGGTCGAAAGCTTTCGAAAAAGATGTGTTTTTCTCAAGAGTGGCATGCCTTCTGCCAAGGTACCGAACAGCATTCACTTCTTCAAATGGCTGATGTTCAAGACTGCTGAAATATTTTTCTAACGAACAGTGTGAGCTCTGCAACTGGGTTAAGCACTAACTTTTGTTATAATTTCTGCTGGACAGTATTACATGTAGTATTAGTAAAAGAAGTACCTGCTAGATTGCAGTTATATTATATTTAGCAGAAAGTAGTTTTTGTGGTGTGATAACACGTGAACAATAATGATGAATGAAGTGGTTCATTTTTGTGAATTAATGCACTTTAAAACTTTTTTTTTACCTGAGTGCATTACTTAAAGATGCAGTATAACTCTAAATCAGCACATTATTTATTGAAGTAAAAAATCTTTATTTATAGTTATTTAAATACATTTTTCTTCTACCTGTTATACAGAATTATAGCACTGTCCATCACAAGAGAAGCATGTGTGCTGTGAGAGCATTAGTGAATAGGCGTTTTGCTTAGGGCTGAGATACAATGTCCACAATTTTTAAATATAATGATTGTACAACCAATTGGTCACGACCTCAAATACAATTGGATAAAAGCTGCTCATTGGTGCTGTTCTGAATCTTGACATCTTTATCTGTTGCTGTAATTCTTAGCAAAAGTGGCCTCTTGTGATAGACAGCTGTTACTGCAGCTTGTAATTTCCCTGATGGTGTTTCCATTGAAACAAAACAAAACAAAACAAAAAAACTGTAACAAAACAACTGTACAGAAATTGTATGTTTTCCAAATGGCAATGCAATTAAATTATCGTTATTAGTTTTATAATTATTACAAATATTGTATATTTTGATTTGGCGACCATGTAACAAGAAGTTTATTTTTTCACCTTAAAAAAACATGAAATTACTGTTCTAATGCTGTATACTGCAACTTTAACAATAATGGACACTTCCTATGTCGTTATTGGGACTTATATAATGCCTGATATGTTTACTTTTTTATAAAAGAAATGAGACTTAGTTTAGACAATCATTTTCCATCTTCTAAATCCTCCCTTTTCACTAATGAGCAATGATTTCTATAAAAGAAAAATTAGATTGTGAAACAGGCATTGCAAAACAACAACAACAACAAAAGAAGATTGCACAAAGCTTTTAATATTTGGAAACTGAGGAGAAACCGGAAATGTGCAAGACTACCATGGAGAATTCCTACAAGTGTAATTTGGAATTGTCTCTCCCAAAAGTCTTCTGGTTCCAAATTAATCTACACAGTGTGTATTCACAGTGTTTTATAAGGGATTACTTTTGTTTTAAAAATTGTTGTTCCTGCCTCCACTCCCTGCCCCCTGATATCCAGACGAAGGCATTATGTAAAAGTGTTAAATCACTCTTTTAGTACAGCACATATTAATGGTAATTACATTGCTTTTGTTAATTAAATAAAACACTTGCTTATTTGCATCTCTAAGATCACAAGGGAATTATAGTAAGTAGTCATGCTAGACATTTTCATACTATTTAGTTATAATGTAAAGGTAGTGATTTTTTTTCTTAATTTAGTTTTCTCTGATGCATTATCACAATATATTATTTTTTTTCCCCTTTGTAATGTACATAATCCACAAGTCATAGGGATGAGGAAATGTGCAATAGGAAACTGGCTTCTCAACACAACATGAGCACTGGCTTCTTGGAAAAGAAAATGACTGGATTTCTTGAACACATCACACGAGTGTTAAATTCCCGTGATTTAAAGTTTCTTTAAGATTACTCTAATATATATTTTGAAAATTAATATCCTTGTATCACATATTCCTGGATAATATGTCTGTCTTTAAACTTAAAAGGGTAAAATAGGAAAGCTTGAATTTGCAGAACAAGGGCACTTATGATCGCCCAAACACTGAATGAGAAACATTTCTCTGGAAAAATGTATTGTGTAGGTGACACGGTATATGTATATTTTTGTGCATAACGGAAAGTCACCACATATCTTGTATCTTAAAGAGATTCTTGCAGTCTTGAAAAGAAATATTTTAAAATTTGTTAGAATTGCAGAACACATCTACTAAAGACAAAAAAAAGCTCCAAAACATTCCCAAACAATTTCTATTTAAACTTTTGACAAGAGTGTACTTTAGTTCCGTAGTGCTCAGGAGAAGCCAGTACTACCCAATGGTGAGATTTCTAGCTGTTCAACATGAATATTTGGTTTCTTGGTATCACTGTACAGCTGGGGTGAGATAACCATGTGCAAACCTGTAGCAGGAAATTTGATTCTGTGTGAAGTTGTTGCCCAATCAGTCCTGACCTTGTGTGTATAATTCCAACTTCACTTCAAATGTGAGGAATTTCAAGTAACTGATGACCCTCATCAAAAATGGGACTGATGGAAATAAGCCCACATAGTGTAGGGTGAGGCATATAAAACATACTTTATAAATAGTAGACTTGATTCCCAGTAACTCTGTTATAGAAAGTTCTTTAGTGCCTCTCATTAAGTTCTTGCAATTTTGCCCAGAAGCCAGACTGAGATGGGCTAGATTGTATGTGCCTTCTATGATTTAAGCTGAACAATCAAGAGGAAAATCTTGTATTACAAACTTTGCCCTCGATGAAAGGTTTTGACTTTGGTTTATTTGACAAATTCTTTGAGGACTTGTCATACTGTATGTGCACTGGGCCATATGAAGTCACGGTTATTTCAAAACACTGAAAGATAAATTACTCATTTTAAAAAACTGCGAGGTTCTACCAATTGATCCTAAAAATATTGCTAGTAACCTTTGTTTTTGCACAGCAAACTGTAGGTTAAAGATCTTGCCAGACACAAAATTCATTAAACACCATTATACAGTACAGTATATTTCATGGTTTCTTCTTTTAGGTAATATTCTACTGTGGAAGTTCATTTGGCTTCAGATTACATTTGCCTAGTAGTTTCTGAAGTTCCTGTGCTTTATGCTACCATGTTCCTTTGTGAAAACCACATACTGTATGTGCTTAATCATTTAATCCATGCACACAAGTTGCTCCTTTTAGAGAGTGGAAAAGATTCAGAGAGACTGTGTATGAGGCAGAGGTCTGAGAGTGTGAAATGATGGTTTGTGTGCTGATTCTGAGAAGAGACAGGCTTTATGATGATGTGTTGTGTAAATGATATGCAAAAATATATTTAGTGGGGAGTGGGCATTCATTTAAAAGGAAAAAACCCACTTGGAAATAATGTATGCAGTAACATAGTTTAGTAGTCCCACAATTAAAACATTTAGACTAATACCTAAGGCAGAGCTTTTTTAAATGCATTGTTTTCTGGAAATAACTCAATTATAGCTTACTAAATTAAAGATTTTATGCCTGCTTGACAAAGTTTAAGTAGTGTAAATGTGTGCTCATCTCAAAATTCTCATGTGCCTTTTGTAATTTGAAATTTCTATCGTAATTATTTAAAGCGTAAGGATAGCAAGTGTCTGTAGAGACAGGCAGTAGGAGGGAGTACTGTAAGTAGAAAGTTTATTGTAAGTCTGGCTGTAGTCGTAGATGCATGAGGGAATTTGCAGGTTTCTATTTTAGCTGTTGAGGGGATTTGGTAATTGTTGAAAGAAGTAAGAAAGATGACAGAAAGCTTAAATGAGCGCTATTGTTTTAAAAAGTTGTC